TTGGTGAGTTCTTCATGGCCTGTCATTTATTAATTTTCATCACATGCATTAACAGATGATATCACATACCAATCGACCCTGCCAAACTTCCAACTCCAGAGGTCAGTCTCATCGCCCTATGTGACTGCTTGATCCTGGCATATTTCTGCATTCTCCTCATGTGTTTCATGGCTGTTTGGTAAGAGTTTCATTAGTTATACACATAAAGAATACCCTGACACTCACAAATAGTTGTAGATTAGGGTTTGGGTGGAATTCTGTGTGAAGGTGAGCAAGGGGAGGTCTGGGAGCAGGAAATGAACACCATATGAGGAAATAGGAGTCAGTGAGTCGAACAACTTCATGCACCACAACTTGCAGCTAGGATGCAATTTCAAATGCATGATGGTCAGAAAATCTATTCACATAATAATAAAAAAACTTGTCATATGATTCATTAGGCTTGATGCTTGCTGGGTCAATTTTTTGGCTCACATATATAGGGATGAGTTGAGCTGTGCAATAGATGTATTGATGTGGATGATAGCAACATCATGTGCATTGTGTGTATGAAATATCCACATCCCTGTGTTGGTGTCTGGGCCATCTCCTACATGGTCAAACCAATGTATGATCGCACAAGGATACTCCATGCCTAGGTACTTGAAAGAAAAAAAAAACACAGAACATGAGTGATGTCCAGCCCAATCATGCCCTTTGCATGAGGATCAGTTACAATGAAGACACAGTCATAACAGGGGCCTTCATTCCTCCACATAGGGGAGCAACATATATGTTCATGATGTATGCTGTGGAGGCCACTCATGTCACTGGGTGCATAGAATGTTGAGGATGCAGAGTTGTAGATGCAGACAGATCCATCATAAAAGGGATATTCATCCAAGGGGACATCTTCTGGATCATGATCGTCATGCTGAAGCTGTGATTGAAGAAAATGGCACAAGATATTGAGGAACTGGGGTATGTTGAGTTCAGTCGCTAGGTCCCTCATATTCCTCACCCACATATGTTCTATGATCAACAGATTAGAATTCATATGCATGAAACCATGAGCAAAGGCATATGGTAGGTCTGGGCCAACAATATGTGGGCCTCAACTGACATAGGAGAGTCATCTGTATTGCCTGCATCTTCTTCGAAACTTGCTGTGGGTTCATCAGCACTGTCTTCGCAGTCCTGATTGTTTGACACATCATGGTCAGTCTCATTATGAGTCTCATTACAATATTGTTCTAGAATACAGTCAGTGTCAAGAACAATGTCTAAGAAAAGTGCTCACACCTAGAGTTCCAAGCACATGTGACAGGCAAGCCCCTCTCAACATGCCACATTTTTCAAAGTCTGCATGCACTGCAGCAAATTTGTCAAGCCTCTGGTTGATCACAAGCATCTGTCTGAGAGCCTGAAAGCAGTTAGTATGCTGATAAGGTCGCTTGACTGCTTTGATATGTTTGGACTCAGTAATCAATGAACAGAGCCCATTCAGTGCACCAAACTGGCATATAAGATAGGGATAATGCTTCATAGCATGTTGCCAGGGTAATGAAAACATAGTGATTACTTGGGTGTTCTGGAAGACTTCACAATACAAGTGGAAGCATGTGAGTGCATCCTCAATTGTGGTAAGCATTGGTTCAGTGATAACATTTCAGCAGATGAGGTAGCAAAACTCGAGAAAGGCACAAAACATGCAGATGACATCCTCTGGGACATAGCCTTTGATGGCTGCAATATATACCTGTAGAGGACTGGTCAATCATCATACACCATTTAAAAAGGATTGGAGAACCTTCATGAGGCCTTTGGAGTCATCACCACTCCATTGTTTAAAGTGTCAGCCTTGAGGGAAACATTGCAGCCCAGTAAACAGGGTGACAGCTGCGATCCTGGAAATCAATGAGGTCAGTCAGTGCATGATAACAGAGGTCAGCCAACACACCTTCAATCAATATCATCCAGTATTTTTTCTGCAGTGCCCTTTCCATGAATACAGATGAGATACCTTTCCACCCAGTCAACCAGGTGATCTTTGAGTCCACCCTTGATGAGTTGATGAAAAATGTCCAGAGAAAGCATTCTCTGGATGTCCATGCATGGAAACCTGCTTGTAAATGGCTGTTCTCGATCAGTCATGAAAAAAGAAGCAAGTATATTGTACATACCACTATATCTCTGTCAATTCCATACCCTTCCCAAAGTGTCTGAGGGTCCAACTCCCTGATGATCAATTCAGTGTGCTTGTAGTGACACCAGAGTGCATCTTTGTCAAGGTTCTCCTGGTGTGTGAGACATTTCAGACACCAATTATGCATGATGCACAACAAGAGGACCTGCTCTTTGTAGTCAGCTATGTAAGCTGCAAGCACATAGATGACATGTTGATAGTACTGTTTCCAGAACTGTCATCGCAGGACCAAGTGACCAAAGAACACGTGCCAGTGGCAAGTGGGAGAGCTGCTTCTTGAATTTACAGAACACTTGTGTATTAGCATGCTCCCTAGTTGCTATCAGGCTATTAGTGGTGGTACAAAGTAATAGAATTTGAAGTGCTTACTCTTCAGCATTGCAAGGAATCCAATGAGCACTACTGCATCACAGTGTGCATGATGAGTGGTGTTGCACACATTTCCGATGGAAAGATAGAGCAGGTAGTAATCTGTTTGCCCAGTTGCAACAGAAACAGTGGTCTTGTCACTGCCAAGGATGATAAGAACCAATGTTGCTCTGGCTGCTGATGGGTTATTGCCGATAATCTTGTCCTAGAAGTATGAGATTGGTAGGACCTACATCGAGACAAACCCAGCACATACCACTTCATCCCAGGCCCAGTTGCCCAACATAAAATCCTCCCAATGCCTCTGATCACTTGTGGCATTGAACTCCCAGTATGGCATGAAGTCCATTTGATCCTTAAAGTCAGTGTGACTGAGGAGGTTGTGGATAACTCAATGGGGGTCTCAATACCATACATCATAGATGTCAAACATCCAAGGGGCCTCTGGTTCATCTTGGCCACCTTGGCCATCCTGACCATCCTGACTGCCCAGTTCAATCACTTTGTCCTGTTCATCTGGTTCATCCTGTACATCCCACTTGTGCTTGTAAGTGATTTTGAAGTTTTCCCACTTGACTGTGCCAACAGACATGCTGTCTATCACACGATAGAGATCCATGTGGTGGGTGAATAGTGGATTGCCACCTAACTCAAGCAATGAGGTGGCCCAGATTTCAAGCAATGTGTCAATTTGGTTCACTGGCATTTCTGCACATTTGAAAAGAAACTTGGCAAGTTCAAATTCTAATCGATTGTGGTATGGAGCCCAATCATCTGGTGATCCCTGTATACAAAGCAGCAGTGGAGCATCATCTGGTAGAAAATGGCCCTGGGAGTCACACCTTCATCCTGTAATAAATTGTATGAGTAGAGGTAGGATAATGTGTGCATAGGCTTACTGTTAAGACCCACATGATAATTGTGGTAAACCTTGTTGCCAGGACCAACAAATTTTGCAATCATTCCATCCAGTTCCTGATCCAATGTTGCACTGCAGTTGAAATCATGTGGACCATCATCATAATCTAGAACATGTTTGGCTACTAGGGGTATGGCATTTAAACTGTGGTCCTGTTTGGAGTAACCCTGAGACCCTTGAAAGCAGTCAAGGTGCAGATGGCTGCACTTGTGTTGGGTGAGCCCTGATCAGTTTTTGAACCAACAGTTGCAGCCTGGCACATCACAAGGAAGATGGAGAGCGCTGAATTTTGTCTGTTGAGAGCTTCGGGTGCTGCCTCTGCACAGCAACATTTTGATGGTAAACAAACACATTTAGGGACCCTTGTGTGATCGGTAAATGGTCAGAAACCTAAGTTAGGCAGAACTTTGCATATTTGTTTGTGAGGAAAGAGACTCTGTAGTGCATGTGTTTGCAAGGAAAATTTCTTGCATAAAAAATGACAGGTTCAAACTCACCTTGTGCTGTCTTCATCTCCACCCATGCATGACAAGTATTATGTTGGCTTCTTCTAATATTTGTCTGTGATGAGAAAAGGCCAACCTGCATCCAGGGAGGATCATTCTTGAAGTGTGGACTCAATGGCATACCCCAGCCCAGAAGCAGGCTGATGACTTGCACATGCAGGAAGCTATTGATGCTCAGGTGGCTGCTATCCAGCAGGCTCATGCCCAAGTCAGGGAGATGGAGACTGCCATGGAGGTCAGGCAGGTTATCCAAGGTGCTGCCAAAGCGAAGCCAGTCAGACCGAGACAGGCACCTGCCAGTAGAGATCCTGGCCAGGAAATTGGCCCTCCTGTTGCAACAGAGACCAGACAGGCAATCCAAGTCACTGCTAAAGTGAAGTCAGTCAGACCAAGACAGGGGCCTGTCAGCCTTCAAGGAAAACCTGGAAATATAGTCATCCAACCTCATGGTGAAGGTGAGGATGTTTCAGTTATGTCATCCAATCGCAGACACTGATAACATATCAGTTGAAGTTGCTGATATGGAAGTCAACACTCACCAGGTAACTGCTCCTGCTATTGCAGACTATACAAGCAACAAGCCACAGAGTGGGAGAACAGCTAGCTGCATGCTGAGAAGGCAAGGTGCAGTCACCAACCTTGATCTGCTGGCAAATGTGGCATCAACACATGGATCCAATGAAACCTCCCAGCAGGCATACATTCTTATTTTCAACTGTTTGATGCCAGGTGCTGCTACTTACTGAGTCAACTTTGTTTTGGCTGAACATCACCTGGAATGCTCTCAGTACCTATGACAACCCAAACACCAACTTGGACCAGGTCCATCATTGGGTCAAGGATGTCCCAACTGGGCTGATGCCACAATCCAACAGACTACCAACTTCCATCCCTTCTTTGACAAGCAGAGCTACTACTGCTGTCAACTCCAATACAAGCCTAGCATACCAGGTATGTGCTACATTATCAAGTAGGATCAGTCATCTTCAACATCTTCAATCAGGGAAAGATGCCTGCACCAACCCACTGCATGGACAAAGAGGAATTAGAAGACCAACCAGCTTTCTCTGTCAAGGTTGTAGGTCATGACAAATTCAAGGTATGTCTCTTGATGCAAATTGACTGTTGCATTATATTGCTTTTAGGTGGTCACAAGCACAGCTAATGATATAGAGAGCAACAATGAATTCAATCAGCTCATTTTTGAGGAGGCACAGACTGGCTCGAAGTGCAAGTATTTGGATCATGACAACACCAACTATGTTACCTCATCCAAGGTTGAGGACTTTGATGATGAATACTTTGACGTTGAGGATCACAATTTGAACTCTTGTATGTTGCCTGCTAAGGAATTGTGTGTTGTGATGGTACATTTTTTTATCTATTTGAACTGTACATTAACTCTTTTGGAATCACAGACTGATAATGGAGTAGATGAACCAAAGAAATCAAAGGTTGACAGGGATGCAGACCAAGAATCAGGACAGAGGTGCACTACAGCAGGTCAAGCACCTTCAACAAGGACCATGGGCAAGGCCAGCAAACACTCTTGTTACCGAAGCCAAGATCTGCCTTCTGTGCTGATGGCAGGCAAGATGGGGGCAAAAGAAATTATGCCTGCTCTCCTTGTGTGGGCTGGAAGCTTAGCTGACCCTTGGACAATCTCAGATGAAGAACTCATATGGTCGCTGCAAATCATTATCCTGACCATTGCTCCAGACTTTGAGGACCTGAATGATGTTTGTCCTGGGACAGCTGTCTTTAATATTGTATTGTTAGTATTATTTACCTTGCTACTTGACTCATGCTTCCTTGGACAGGCATGTCAATGACTCTGCCAGTGGCACAGCAACTTTGGATCCACTGCAATCACTCTTATTGCTCACTTCCTTGTCTCAGATCCAGAAATTGGTGTGCCATCTCTTACTCAGGCCCAGGAACTCTGTTCTAAGCTGTTAGAAGGCTTCCCATTTTTATATTCAGACCAAGATTCTTGCAAACTGGAGAACATTTTCTGGTCATACATTGTGTTATACCTCCTTGGCCACACACATCTGCAGCCCTGTGCTGATTCTTCTGATGTCCCAAAACTGAAGATCAGGGAACTGAAAAATACAGGCATCAAAGGTGCACTAGCCCTTACCTGTGCTGCAGTAATGTATTGCATTTTAGCCCTAGACAGTCAGGTAACTTATTCTCTTTAGTTGCACCATACACTTTCCCTGTTCAAAACTGGAAAACTGCAAATTGACACTAAGCACATGTCCTTCAGAAAGGCAGCTATCAAGATCCCACTCAAGGTGAACAAGGTGACCAGGAAGGAGTTGTCAGCTGTTTCAGCATTCTCCAAGCAGAATTGTGGCCCCTGCACCAGGCAATATGCTATAGCCATCACTAAGTGTGACAACACTGTGCTCTGTAACATCATTATGGGAGCAACTATGCTCATTCCATACAGTATGGATTGCATGTCAGAGGGAGGGAGCTTTCAACATGGGGAGGACAACATCAACAATTTAATTGCCACTCTTTGTAAGTCACATCATTATTTATGCACACTACTAACAAGTCATTGATAGGATCCTGCAATTTGGATGTGCTCTCATTCTCTTCTGCCCTGAGTCACTCATTGCCAACTACAATCATTGAATTAATTGTGTCTTTTTTTGTGCTTACTTGAGTCACCCTTGTTTTGGATTGTTGTAGGCCTATGCTCATTTAATGTTTCGGCACCACACTGCTTTATCATGAATGCATTGTGTTTTATGTGAGCTGAACAAAAGTGAAAATAGTGAGAATAAGTGCTAAGAAAGTTGCAGTCAATGACAAGTCAGATAGTAGTAATAGTGGGAAAATAGCATAAATAATCAAAAGATAGTATGAAAAATAGTGTGGATAGTAAATGAACCTACTAAAAAGACTATTATTTCTTTTCTGACTATTTTGGTGTGAATAGGACATAAATAGTATGAATAGTATGCAAAATAGTAATGTGTGAATCTTGCTATGTGTTAGGTACCCAAGCAGTGTCTTTTAAGGGGAAGCAAGATGTCAGTATAGCGCTATGTGGCTGAGGGATACCTAAGCTCCCCAATCCTGTGGAGCTACACTGCACATGTTGACAATAACAGCATAGCAGTCTAGAAGACCCATTTAAAGGGGAGCAGATGCTGCCAAATCAACGTGCTGAATTGGTTGATACTGTGGGTCATGACCCAACCCCAAAGCAGACTGCATCTTGGAAATTGGGTGTCATGCTGACCATTCAAGATTTTCTATTGGAAGTGGTAAGTGATTTTCGACGTTCGCACACTAGAATGATGTCCCTGTCCTACCAGGTGCTCCCCTTTTGTTCTTTCATGAAAAGGTTTCCCTTGCATCATGAGGGACAGGAGATTTTTCAACGTCAACAAAGTCCACCTTGACAACCCACTGTATGACAGCTATCAATCCACAACAGTCGCCTCTCTGCCCTAACTGCAGGTTCCTCCATTTTCAAAATGCAAATCATTTGCCCCTGTGATAACTTTCGATCGAGATCCAGACTTTTATGTTGCATGATCATCCATTGATGGCAGGTTTGTAGAGCTCTGGTTGCTGGAGCATGTGAAGGAGCTTCAGGGGTTCAAGGGTCTGTGGCTTGTTTTGTATTTGACTAAGCACTGAAGATCTATTAAGGCATGTTCATATCTGTCATGTTGTTTGAACATTCTCATCATAATGATCTTTGCAACAAATCACACATAGTGTAGTCACATTTAGTCACAACACATGGGCAGCCTGTGTGCCAAAACACCAACACTCATATAGACCCTGAGATGAGCCTGCCTAAATAGACTAGCCAGTACACATGGACAGGCCTGAGGGACTAAAGTGAGAGCAACATATGTATGGGCCTGTAAGTGCATTACCACAACATATCGGAGGGCCCCTGGTGGGTAAGGATGTTGAAACATTTAGATGGACCCATGACCAATTAAGTATACTGAGTTGCTGTAAGACATGGACAGGCATATCCTGGTAGGTTACCCCCCTGTTGCGACATCAAGGCAGGCCTGCCTATCATAACATGGAGAGGGTCACAACATATGGATGGGCCCAGGAGTAATATCATTTATGGTGTCACAACATCTAGACAGGCCTGTTCATAATAAGCTGTACCCCTGTTGCAACATAAAGATGGGCCTGTCAGTAATGTTGTTTCATAATGTCACAACATATAGACAGGCCTGTCAACAGTAAGATGTACCACTGTTGAAACATAAAGATGGGCCCATCACTAGTATCATTTAATAGAGTCACAACATAAAGATGGGCCTGTCACTAATATCATTTAATAGAGTTGCAACATATGGACAGGCCCTTCAGTAGTATTATTTATATCATCACAACATATGGGCAGGCCCAGCCCCAGTAAGATGTACCCTGTCAAAACATAAAGACAGGCCCATCACTAATATCATTTAATAGAGTTGCAACATATGGATGGGCCCTTCAGTAATATTATTTATATTGTCACAACATAAAGACAGGCCTGTCAATAATCTCATGCATAGCATCACAACATATGGGCAGGCCTGGCCCCAGCAAGATGTACCCTGTCAAAACATAAAGATGGGCCTGTCACTAATATCATTTAATAGAGTCACAACATATGGATGGGCCATTCAGTATATTATTTATATTGTCACAGCATATGGATGGGCCTGTCCACAGTGAGATGTACCTCTGACGAAAAATAAAGATGGGCCCATCAGTAATCTCATGTACAGCATCACAACATATGGACAGGCCCTTCAGTAGTATTGTTTATATTGTCACAACATATGGGCAGGCCCAGCCCCAGTAAGATGTACCCTGTCAAAACATAAAGACAGGCCCATCAGTAATGTTGTTTAATAGCATCACAACATAAGGATGGGCCCTTCAGTAGTATTGTTTATATTGTCACAACATATGGATGGGCCCATCAGTAATATCATCTAATAGCATCACAACATAAGGACAGGCCCTTCAGTAGTATCATGTATATCATCACAACAAATGGACAGGCCCATCTAGCAAGATGCACCCCTGTTGCAACATAAGGACAGGTTTGTGTATGGTATTCTTAGGCAGCAGAAAGGGAGATCCAAGCTATCTACATAAGGACAGTCCATGTAAGGCATTCTTAGGCAGCAGAAAGGGAGATCAAAGGGATCTACATAAGGATGGGCCCATCCATGGTATTCTCAGGCAGCAGATAAGGGAAAACAAAAACCAGTGTTACAACATAAGATGGGCTGATCCATCCATTGCAGGATTACAAACCCTTGGCACTGCATAAGACAGGCCAATCTGTCATATCATAGATAGCTCACCACAAATGGACAGGCCTATCCATAATTGGGTTATCCCCCTGTCACAATATAAGACAGGCCCAGGAAGACAAGAAATGAAGAAAGTGGAACCTCTCACACTATAGAGTATCTGAATTTCCCACTATAAATTGTGTTTCACATTGGACAATTTGCCTATTTAGTTGGAATCTCAGGCACTGGTCTATGTAACTGTGAGCCAGGCTCTGCCATTGGAGCAGATGGGAAACATGCAAAACAAACAGCAATGCTATTCCAGAACAATGCATCATATCTTTATCTGAGCTTCTGCTTCACATATGCATTCAGGATTATTGACTTGTACCAGTATTGCCATCATGCCATGGGAATCATTCATAGGCAGGATAAAAAATGCAACATCTATGTATCTTGTCATCTGTCTTTAACCTCTGACTCTTCCACTCTTCAATCACCATCACCACTCTCACTGTCAAACTACTCCATTGTCTCATCATCAGAAACATGTTGTCATCATCGTCTTGCAAGCTCTTCAAGAAATCACCTGAGCTCAATGCTGCAGCCAACCACATCCTTCAAATTTACTTCAAGGATATCGTGGAAAGCAGCAAGCTGGGAAAGGCGGACAAGATTGCAAAGTGGAGAGGTGCCATCAAGGCAATAAATGATGAACTAGTGTGTCATAGCATCATCACATTTTTTTCACTAACTGATGCATTCAGGATGCTGTACACAACCTCATCGCTAGGACAGATGAGATTCTGATGACCCTCATTGGCATCAACATGTTCTTAAAGTGGCATGAAGACCTCGGCTTGATCAAGCACCCATGGCCTGAGTGGAAGACTGCCTTATCCCCTTCCAAAACCAACATTGCCAACCACAAGTGGCTCAACATCATTGAGCATTGATACCACTACCACTGGTTGGGCCTCCCTATGCCCTGTGTTGTGCCAACACCAACACCACCTGCTCAAGAGACTGAAATGCCTATGAGCGGCAAAGGAAATGGAAAGCGACTGAGGCAGAGGTGGAGCAAATGATAGTGGATAGCTTGCACAGGACAGAGGTGGATGATGAGGGTGAAGATGAGGTGCCAGAGAAGGAGGACGATGAGGAAGAACCAGCATGAGGCAGGCAGAAGTGCAAAGCTGCCATGAAAACAATGTCCCATTGATCCAGACATTCATCCCACTCTAGGAAAGCAACAGCAGAAACTGACGATGACAAAGATGTTCCTGCTCAAGGCCAATCAAAATGCAAGCCTTGTCCACTGTCAGATGGACTATATGGTCATGCTGCTGTAGCTGCCAGAAGGACACCTTCCCCTGATGCCCATTCCTGTGACTCATGCTGCAGACACAAGGTCTGATGCTACAAGAACCCTGGGAAGTCCTGCTTCCCATGTGATGGTCACAAAATTCGATGTAGCCATGCCAAAGGCAGGATTACCAATCCAACTTGACAGAATCCATCATGAGCCAGGTGAAAAAAGCGAGCTCGAAGTCTGTTGCCAATGATGGAGGCCCAAGAATCCCAAAGAACATCCCCCAAAGTGACACATTTCGATGGCTTCCAAAGCCATCAACACTGGGGTTGGGCCCTCCAACCAGGGAGAGATGATCCCTGAGGGATCTTCACTCAGTATGTTCACAATTTCATGTATTTACACTGACTCAAATTTTATTTAGAGATTTATATTCCTGCATTCAAATGCAGGGATTCCCACCCAATCCCAGCCACTGTATGAGCAGATTCAATCATTGAGGCTGGTTCATCCATTGCACAGGAGGTATAGGGATCTATGGCAGCAGGTACATTTAATCAATCTACATTTATGCTAATTATCATGGTTAACCCTTGTATTCAAAGCAGACACCCACCCATCGACAACAGCAGCACCCATCCAACTCACAACCACTGCAACTCCCAGTGCACTGTCACCTGTCTGTGCCCCAATCACCAAGGTGTCACAAATGTCTAACACAACCAAGAGTGAATCAAAGATTTGGAACATTGACTCCATGATGCTGAGGCCCACTGCCAATACTACAAGGATTGAATGTATGATTTCCAAATACAACAGGACGAAACCATGCAGATGCTGGACAGGATGGCTCATGAGCTAGTGGCTCTGCATATTTGGGTATATGGACAAGCATTGGGTGACAATCTCATCAATCTCTTAGGGCCTCTGGCAGATGAGACAAGGGCGGATGGGACAGCAGGTGTGAACGAGGCCATCTATCATTTTACTTCTCCATGGCACATACAATGTCATTTTGTATGTCCATTTTAATTGACCACTCATGCTGCATCACATATTCCA